TTTACCTTGGTAGTAGGCCTCCCAGGCAGGGCAGAAAACCAGAAACATCTAGGGGAGTTCGCAGAAGACGGTACCGAAGAGTTGGCGTCATCTATCGTCAAAACATAGCACAATAGAAGTCTGGAACTCTGCCACTTCTTCGGCATTAGAATATTCTTGGCCTTTCAGAAGTAACTCATGACATGTGATCTTTCAAACATAGTAGTTGTGGTAATTATTATATGGAAGGAAAAGAAACACTACATCGTAGAGGCGGAGAGAAGAAAATCGTAGAAAAAATGGGTAAAAAGGGGAGAGGACCACCTGGAAACACTGTATGCGAATCCAATTGGGAGGAAGAGGAAGAAAAAGGTGTGTGCAAATCAGTAGCAATAAATTAGTGTGGTGAATAGTAAATCATGTAGTATAATAGTATCTCACAGACAATTCATTGGTGAAGAGAGGAAGAAGAGAAGAGAAGAAGCTTAGGGTGATATAAAATCTTTGTCTTTATGTGTGCCTGCTTTCTCCCACCCCCGTTCCAGAGTTCCAGAGTGGGAAATGGGGTTTTCCCTCAAAGTTCTTTCACTTGGTGTGTGTGTGTATAGAAGATATCGGTAAAAATCATCATAAGGTATTGGTGTGTGTGTGTGTGTATAATGTGTAGTAGCACGATATAGAAGATATAAAGAAGAAGGTGGTGGTGGAGGGGAGTTGAATACTCCCCTATCTCATCTTGCGTCGAATCTTCCTCAGGAGCTTCTCTNTGAGGCCTCTCTGCAAAGTTGGTGGGGGGTTAGTGTTTTGAAAAAGGACTCCTTGTTGGTCACCTCCTCCTCCTGGTCATACCTGCGTCAGCGCCGAGCACTCGACGTACTTGACGGCCTTCAGCTCCTTGGCCAGCTTCTCCCCGGCCTCCTGGGTAATCGGTTTCTGCTTGTTCTTCGACAGCTTCTCAATGGTGGAGGCCTCGTCGCGCAGGTCGATCTGCGTGCCCACCAGCAGGAAGGGCGTCTTCTGGCAGTGGTGGGTGATCTCGGGCACCCACTGAGAAAGGGGGAAGAGGAAAGTGTTAGCTGTGAGTTTTAGAAATCAAACCGCTCGACGTGTGTTTACCTTCTCCCTGACGTTCTCGAAGGAGGACGGCGAGACGACGGA